TATTTGTAATGTATATAATGTATCTACAGTGTTTAAAATATAGAAGGTATCCATGATGCAAAAATGATGAGAATAAATATAATAATGATGATACAGAATGTTTCAGCAATCCTGTTCCGACGTCGAGGTTACAATATAAAGATAGACAGATTTCATGAATTTTTTTTTGGTAAAAATGAAAATAACATAGTCAAGATATTTAATCAATATGAAAATGAAAGTAATACAAGTAATGCTAAAGACAGGAATTTCAAACATTTGAACATCAGAAGTAGTTTTAAATTTAACGTTATTTTTTTGTCAGCATCCTAATTTTGTCTGAGAAAGATGCTTTTATTTCATTAATTCTTTGAAAATGTTATGTCCTCACTAAAGATGATTTTGATGATTTTGGAGATTTTCTATTTGACTTGTTCTGTTCAAAAGCATACATAGATCAATTTTTGGAGAATTAATCCCGGACAACCTGAATTTTGAAGATGTAATGAAAACGTCAATGGAAAAAAAATATAATGATGTTATTTTATTTTCTTTGTATCACAATTATATAACAGGAAAATGTCCTTTAAAATAAAATCTTAATTTTGTAAATATTTTAAAATTCTGCGAAAATATCGACATCAAAAGTCAGGACATCTTTGTGGAAATACCCTGTAATATACTTAATGCCGTCTGATCATAATAAGAGTTTCCGTGATGTCACTACCATTCTTAAGTGGCGGATACCAGGGTTCCCACCACTCTTCAGGTGACCATTTACCGTTGAGGTTGGCATCGTGGCAGCCGTTATACCACCAGCCTCCTCCGTGATCAACAGCACAGTTACACCAACCACACCTGTCATGGTCCCTGTCAAGGGTGGAGAATGACATCTCCGACAGATTGGTGTTAAGATCCCCCGTGTCTAGCATACGGTCACCTACAGTAATCAAAGATAAAATATTACACGACTATTCATATCACTTGTGATATAATGAACAGTATCAAGTATAAGATATGGCATTAATATCTATACCAATTTTATTTATACGATATATTGACCAATATCAAGGATTAAGTATTACATGATAATAAAAAAATACCCAGACAGATTGTTGTTTAACATTCTGTCCCCTGCAAAATTGAAGAAAAGGAATAATAAAAAAATATTACATGCTAATTTTCAATATATTGTACTGAGAATAACCAATTCAAGCTGCATGTATAATGAAGGACTTACAGAATAAGGATGTGCCTTTAAATACAATGAAACTGTGCTATTGTAAAGGCATAAAGGAACAAGGTATCAGGTATAAGTGAATAAACATATAAAAGGAAAGGGCTATAAACACAGTATAAAAACAATACATTTGAATATATACAAATATATATGAAACTTTAACCTTAGAGTGTTCGATAATTTCTATAAAAATCCTTTATTTTTCTTTTACATTGGATAAAAGTTTCAGAAAGCATTGAAATTTATTTCATATATACATCTAAATAGGCAAATACTTGCTGAGGAAAGAAACTAAATTCATGTTACATCAACAAATAATGTCGCCCGCGTGGCGCAGTGGTTTACATCGTCTGCTCTAAAGTCACAAAGTAAGGTTTTGATTCTAAGGACGCAGGTTCGAATCCCACTGTGGAACGTGGAGACCGGTCCTTCGGATGAGAACGTATAAACCGAGATCCCGTGTCGCAGTAGATGCTGGCACCAAAAAGATCCCCTCACTACTCAATGACCCTGAGGGCCGAGTATAGGACAACATTTCCAGCTCTCCGACGGTAAGTTGAGGCGTCTCCATATGAGTGAAAAACTCTCGAGAGCGACGTTAAACAATATACAATCAATTAATCAACGATAAGGTTAGATCACATCAGTAAGCAAGCCAAACAAGTCGCCCGTAACAATTTCAGAATTTTAGCCAAATGGGAAGACACTCAGTAAAAAGGTCAATAAAACACTCGGACGCTTAACCGAGGTAAGCCTTACTAGAATAGGAGGATCAGAGAGGATCGTATTCCTGCTACCTCAAACAGGCCGAGTAATGTCGTAACCTTAATAGTCCAGACAGGTTACAATGTAAAATGTTGTACATATCTAAAATACTATAAATCTGACCGTATCTGTGTCCAATTATGTTTCGTTTCTTACATCTACCTCTCACCCTTTGGTTGCAACGAACATAAAACTCTAGTAAACTATTTATTTACACGATCTGGTAAAAAATTTGGCTGAATATTCTGACTTGACTATCTTCTTCTAAACTTACTCACTTGACATTTACATATATCGACGAAGTATTGTCAATTAACAAATTGAATGGTCATTTTTTTGTTGTCGATGCGATATATCTCAATGAGCTTGAGATAAAAGACACCACGCAGTCTGACAGATCTGTTTCATATTTGCATATTTCACGTGAAAAAGACTATAACGATAATCTTACAAGCAAGCTTTATAATAAACGTGATGACTTTAACATTTCAATCGTCAGCTTCGTTTACTTATATTCGCCGTAATATGGCTAAAAAAAATTCCCAACTCGGCGTTAAACAATATACAATCAATCAATCAATCATTTACTTATGCAGCAAAATACCTTTAACGCCTGTATACAGAGTTCATAGTAAGTTGATCTCAGCTCTTTGTATGAAAAAATTCTGTAATAAGGTAAATCATTGCATACAAGATTACGAAACAAGAATATCAGCATGGTCTCGTTTAAAGTCATCATTTCGTAAGTTCTATGGTCGATACAGTGACCTTGTCAGCCAAAATAAATCTTTTTGAGTCACATGCTGACTGAAGTTTTTCATTTAAATTGTTAGGTCATTATCTTTTTTGAGTCAAATGCTGACTGAAGTTTTTCATAGTAATTGTTAGGTCATTATCTTTTTTGAGTCAAATGCTGACTGGAGTTTTTCATAGTAATTGTTAGGTCATTATTTACACTCTGAGTTTTCGACGGATTTATCCGTTATTTCCCAATCATGACAAGGAGCACACGGCTGATGTGACCCGTCGTCAGGGGATGCTTACTCCTGCATGGCACCTGATCCCAACTCTGATGTTTAGCGGTTCGTGTTTTCTTTGCTACCATTTTATATTGTTTTATGGACTTTGAGCTTGAATACTGTTCGATGTCTTTATATATTTCATTCCCTTCTCTCCAAACCAGATAAAAGGTAAAAAAAAATGATAAAAACGGAAACGGACTTAAAATACACTATAAACTTTGACCTGATTAAAGCAGACACATAAACAATTACGCTTATGAGAATTAATACATTGGCGTCAGAAGCAAATTAAAAGTGGGGGTGGGGGCTAAATGTAAGAAATTTTTTTAGACCTCCAAAAAAACAGACAAGCACAAAAAAAGAGGGAAAAAAGGAAATTGTCTAAACACGAAATTCCCGTTTCGAGGGGGAGGGGGGTGTTTGTTATAGGTTCGGTTTTAAGTACCAAAGTCTTTTTTTTTCAAACAGCACCACTCTCCCAATTTAAAACCCACACTGCACCGTCTTTGTGGAAAGTGGGGGTCTAAACCTACGCAGCAATGTTCAATGTCTACACTAAGTCTATCGTTGAAAATAAAGGGGCTAGCCCCCCCCCCCAGTTCCCGGCTTCCCGACGCCCATGGAATACAATTACATCACTCTAAGACTACACATCAGCAAATAAAAAAAATAATAAAAATCTAAAATTATTTGACGAATTCACGTGTTTGTTTAAGTTTCATACATTGTATCCCACTTTTCACTCACCTAAAGTTCCCGTGGCAGGACCATTGAGAAACAGTTGATACTTGTCTGCTTCATCATAAATAGAAAACTGATTGTACAACTGGTACAGCGCTGTGCCATTCGATAACGTGATGGAAACGTAGAGGGAGGAGTTCTTTCCCTTTGTCAACTGATGGATGACGTGATTTCCTTATCAATGTATATACGAAATTCATTGATAAGTGTTCGGAAGTTCCATGGTACAATTATTTTTCCATATTGTAAATTAATGTATCCGAAAGAAAAATCAAGTAGTCTGAAGCCTGATATGTTCAAACGGTATTTAATACATAACTTATTACATTAGTAACTTTGAAATTTGATTGAGCTCTTGTTATCTTAATTCTATTAAATCTAAACCTAGGATGGAAATGAATGAAATTTTGCTGCCAAATTTGAAATTTCAGTACAATTGTCTTTTTTCAAATTATGAAGAGGATCAATTAATTATGTTCACCTATCCAGAGATTCTGTTCTGTCGCACCAAAACCATTTTTATAGTCATCCCATTTCTTATCAAAGGTCAGGGATCCATCTATTCTTTTCTGAATGGCCTTGAAAAGATAAACAAATATAATTTAAATAATTTTATTATGATATGCTTGATATATATGAAATTTACATCATGAATCAAGTCTCCTGCCAATCCTCTGGACAACAAAATCAATGATTCCAGTTAACAAGGTATAAATTGTTTATAAATAAACTACATACTGTCCACCCTCCAGCCAATGTATCCATGTCACAATAAACTCGGATAGGAGGCAAGGTGGTCCCAAAGGGGTAGATTTCATACACACCTGTATAAGTGTGACCACTTTCCCGGTAATCCTTACAGTCAATAGGAACAACTGAAATGGAAGAAAATGAATCAAAGGACTGATATTGCAGGTACATATAAAAGGGAGATAAACAGCTGCAAGATTCATCAAAACTACTGCTGAGACAGAAGAAAAAGAATTAAAGGACTGACTTCGCAAGTACATAAAAAGAGGAAGATAAACAATTGCAAGATAAAACAAAACTGCTGAAGCAGTATTTTGAACTACAGTTTGCAAATATAAAAGTGGCAAGCTTTATTTTGGTATTAAGACTTGGCATTAATACTTATTAATTCTTTATTATTTTTGTTAAATAAAAGAGTACCTACCACTTTATACGTACACATGTAAGCAATTACAATGCGTATTTTCTTTATTGAATTACACTTGTATTGTTTATGTTTCGTTGGTGATTTAAACTATATGGTATCTTTTTATTTTTTATCATTGAAACCATTTTTTGTATTTGTATTTAATAATTTAGAAGTTTTTTTTTTAAACTCAGATGATAAATATAAATACACATAATTGCTTTCCCTATGCCAAATAATAATTTTTTGCAAAAAATAAAAAAGAAAAAGAAAAACATTCATGCCAATAAAGCGTCTCCAAGAAATAGAATATATAGACGATATTAACTTAAGTGAAGCCATTGGGAACTGCACTTAATAAAACAATAATCGAAGGGAGCTAAATCTTGGCACAATGTATACAACATTATTTTAATCAAAATACAAACATGTCAAGATTTCACACAAAAGTACTGTAAACGTATTACATTTGGCTGTGTATTCTTTTTTGCGCCTTTCGCGGAAAGCAGCCACCGCTAAATCAAATGGATCGCCAAATGCTTTGTGTATACAGCTGTAAAAGTTAAAGTAACACAAATCTAAAAAGCGCTAAATGAAATCTACGCCAATTTGTTGAAAATTCAATTTCCGCCAAATATTGTACACGCCAAATATAATACAATTACAGTATTTCTCAGACAAAATGAAATCATTATTCTGACGCAAACGCTTGCATGTTATATATGTAAATATAAGCTATTTAAATTGCGCGTTTTTTTCCAACTCTATCATCGATTTTCCCAGTATTTTGCGACAATAATAAATCAAAGAACGAAGATAAATGTTCACATTAGCACAAAAGCACGGGCTACGATAACTTAAGAATTTTTTCTTTTCTTTTGAAAGGTTAATCTTTTCAAAGTGTGTCCACGTTAATATTTTTTTTTTCAAAAATCAATCAAGTTCATGTTAGGGACTCTCTTAAATGTTAAAAAAAAAATGAAAGATCACTCCGTCATTGTTGAACTACGTAGAGACAAGAGAAAAAATATTTTTAAATGAGTACTTAAAAACATCTACAAAATAAATCTGATCAATTTAGATATGTATTGTAATATGGAAATTCCTACAAAATGTGCCACGCTCGATAAGCAGTAAAGGATCAATTTATATCAATGGTATTTTGTATCTTAATAATGAAGATTTTTATCTATATGTCATATGTAAGATTTTAGAGACGAATTTCTTCAAGTTTAAAAAAAGTACATTTCTGAAACATCAATTAATTTCAAACTTAATTTTTTTTGTTCAAAATGATATGACGTTATCGACAGTTTAAAGTTTAAAATGAAATATGCCAATTACAGTATTGTATCCTTTTAATCAAATATTTTTTTTCTTTTGATACAATAACTTTACACCATATGACTTTTGCATTTCAATCACTGCTGATTAAAAAATACCAAACATGTACAAAGATTGAGGCAAGAATGTTGTTTAGAAATAATTTTGGAGGAGAAATAATACCTGAGACAAGACGCAAAAGATTTTTTTTTTAATTAAAAACTGAATCTTATATCATGCTGATTAATATGGATTTTGATATACCTCATACCTGTAGCAAATAACAACAACAACAATAATAATAATAAGTAGGAGACTTACTGCTCTCTGAATATCTTTTTTTATCTCCTTAAATACCATAAAAAAAAAAGAAAAATGGCTTAAAAAATACAAAGATTTAGAAAAAAAATGAAAATTTTTAAAATTTAAAATAACATTGACCTTTGACCTTGAATAAATTGTCAAGGTCAAAAGTCACATTGCAATTGAACCCATGCCTCTTCGACTATTAGTTCTGATGTTATGTTTTTATAGTAAGTACAAAGAAGTTAAAGGGCAATAACTCATATAAGGGGTCATTAGATCCTTTAGCACTTATACAGTGAAGTTAGGCCTAACGACCTTTAAAACATTAGTGAAGGTTTGGTGTTTCAACGGTCTACATTTTCGGAGGAGTAGAGATAACAAGATTTTTGGCACAAGGGGCAATCACTTTTAAAAGGGTTAATGTTAGGGGACAAGAATGAAATCTTTGAGACAGTTTTAAGAGTACATATCAATGATGCATAGATATTAAGTATATATTGAAAGACAAACGAGATATAAAAGAGCCAAATTTCTCAATTTTGGGATGACCTTGACCTTTAATCTTTATATGAATTCTAAGGTCAAAGGTCATTGAATCTTATGCAGTTAGTCCCTGTCTTTACGGCTTGTCGTTTTGAAAATTTTTAATTATTTGTAAAATTCAAAAATTGAAGGGGTAACCGAATGCTTTCGCAATGAATAGATTGAAGAGTCCCCTTAATTAGTTGAAAATGTTGGGGAATGTTTCATACCTCTACTATAGTAGAGTAGCTATAACAAGCATTTCTTGGGAAATAACTTGGAAAGGGGTCAAGGTTCATTTATGCAAGGTGAACTGCAATGATCTTTTATGGAGTACATTCTAATGGATTATAAACCTTTTCGATAAATCTTGAAAGAAAAAAACCGCGGCGGAAAAATTATTTTAAAAAATCTTAACTAGTAGACTAATTGTTCTCTAGACTAATTGTTCAGAGAACAATTAGAGGTCATTTCCACCTTTCTTAGTGTTTCCGTGTCATTTGAATTGAAAAAACAAAAGCAAAAAAAGAACAAAAATTAAAAAGTGCTGCCATTAGGATTCGAACTGTGGACCCTCAGATTGCCAGGCGAGCGCTCTATGCACTACGCCACAGGTTCCGATGAAGTTTTTCCGTAAACTAATAGTGTAGGAAAAAAAAGGAGAAATGAAAGCACATGGATTTACCTAAAAACAGAGACGCGTGCAGTTTTAAATAGTACAAAAACACGTGTATTTATTTGTTTGTGATGGAACATACAGAGGAATAATGAATAGTTCTAAGAAAAAACGATTGGTGGAAAATGAAAATAGAGATTTCCTGTAAACAAAATCATTTAAGTTTGTTTATAGTTTGAATAGATTGAGTTACATGTAATCATACGGAGCTTATGATACATTCGAACCTCCGTGTCGGCACTGTGTTTGTTTATAGTTTGAATAGATTGAGTTACATGTAATCATACGGAGCTTATGATACATTCGAACCTCCGTGTCGGCGCTGTGTTTGCAATTTGTGAAAATATAGGCGCGTTCGTTTTGACATATATGGTGAACTCATAGGTTAGATTAAATAATCATCTCTATTTGGATTGAATTAATAATTATGAGCATAAATTAAACTTGAAACATGCATTTCATGAAGAAAACGGTGTCACCGAGAGCTTGGAAATTTATTTGATAGGAAAAATCGCTTTTTCGAAATTTATCCCATTTATATTAAATCTAAATTAACTTCAAAAAATTCAACATTTTAAAGAAAGCAAGAATATTTGGTATTAAAATGTTGTATAAGAGAAGGGGAATCAAATGCTAGTAACCAAAACTTGAGAAATTGCCGAATCAAGCTTTAATTAATTTGTATGCTCATCAACAATTAAATTTCAGACAAAAAAAAAATGCAGTTTTTGCCGATATTGAATAGAATTTCATTATACTTAAGAGACTCACCGTAAAACTCTCAGGACACTTTTTTTTAGGTTTCTTCTACATTTTATTCTGAATTTCATGTCGATCTGTGATCTCCTTTAAGCCCTAAAAATTTGTCTACGTGGCTATTTTTTTTTAGAAAGGAGAGGGGGGTCTAAGCATTTGTTCAAGAGAGAGGTGTAAATACCTTCAAGACCTTTAGCTTGATTGTGACCTTTGGATCAAGCTCGGATCAAGGGGTCGAAGGTCAAGGTCACCCCCCAAAAAAAAGTTGAGATAAACATCTTTGCTTCAATAATGTATTACAAAATATTGACTGATAAAGAGCTAGAGATTGAAGACTTTTAGTCCCTTATTTGAGTGCCCAGCCCTTTTTTTTTATTTTATCTTAACATTTAACATAAATATTTTTGATTCAGTAATGTATAACAAAATATTTATTGTTAAAGAGTTATCGATTGAAGACTTCCTGCCCTTTCCTGCACCTTATGTGATGACTTATACTTTAAAGGATGTGATGCAAAATGTCTCAAAAAATCCCCTACCGAGCTTCCATTCTAAGCACTTCCGGAAAATATCCTGACCCAGGTGCAACATGGGAACATGTCCTCTATCATCCCTGAAAATTTCAGCTTTCTAGCTTTAGCCTTTTTTTGAGTTACATGACAGACAAGGCCGTCCTCTAAATTTCAATCAAAGGGCGATAACATCCGACCGGAAGTGAATTTCAAAAAATGACTTGCTGGAATTAACTTAAGATAACAACGCAACAACCCTGAAAATTTGGATAAAATCGAACAAGCCAACTCTGAGAAATCGCCTGCACAAATTTTGTAAGAAGAAAAAAGAATAATAACTAGATACGATCTCGTTGCGAGCAAAGAGGGGTCGTCCGTCCGATTCTGAAGTAAAAAACGAAAATTCTAGCAGAAAGAGTGATAAAAAAATTCGGACATTCGGGGGAGCAAACCCGTGTGCCCACTGACAATCCGACGCACTAAACACTCGGCCATTGGAAACACCGCTCCAAATTTTTAAATACGAAAATCTCGAGATAGCCTTTTTTGACTCCAAATCAAATTTCATATTTCGCATTCGCAAAAGATTCACTGTTAAGATATTTAATATCAAAAAAAATATTAGAAAACAAAAAAGTTGAAAAACATAAGCATTTCAAGAGGTCTTTCCACAGAAAGGTGGAAAGACCTCCTAAGGAGACTTAATCTTCACAGAACAATAAGTTGTCTCTCCACCTTCTTTCAATTTCAATTTAGTTTGATATTTACCGCTTTTAAATTAATTACCATGAAAAAGAAATTAAAAGTTGATTAGAGCATAAAATATTAAAATTTAGAAATTTTGGGAATGACCTTGACCTTTGACCTTGAGAAAATATCCAAAGTCAAATGTCAAGGGTCACATTGCAATAAATCCCATGCCTCTTATTATTAAGTTATAAGGTTTAATATTAAGCACATGGACATAAAGAGGTGATAAATCGTGTAAGGGTTCATGCGATCCTTTGCACTGAAACTCTAAAGTTGTGTCTAAATACCCTTAAGCCATTAGTGAAGGTTTCATGTCTCTACGATTTACAGTCTCGAAGGAGTTGCGATATTAAGAACCCTCTATACACTGACGAAAAATATTTTTTGGACTTTGAGAAAATTATATAGTGTAAAGGAGGCTATTTTGAAATAAACTAATCTATTTCTAATATAGGGAGCGTGCCTTCTTTATCCAGGAAAAATCTTTGAAGACAGTGAAGTAATGACAAAGAAAAATTGCTTTAGATTATTCAAATTGAGAAAATATATGCAAATAAAGTTTTCAATGACTTTATCTTGGTCTAACATAATGTTTAGAATAGATGGATTTATTTTTAACTAAAGACTAGAAAATGTTGTAAATTATGTCTATTAAAATATTTGGAGATTAGATGCTTTTTTAAATGTGTTTGTCTTTTTTCATTCTAA